CTCCTGTAGTGTCCTTCACCTAAGCATGTGATAGCGATAGCAGCTTGGAAAGAAAGACTTTGATTATTTGGATTTTGTGTCTGGATAACCTGAAGCATGTGGAAAATTTAAATAAATTTCCTGATGTCTTTCACATTAACATGCTTAGTAATTACAAGGTCATACAATGAAATGTGGATGATTATTTGGATTTTGTGTCTGGATAACCTGAAGCATGTGGAAAATTTAAATGAATTTCCTGATGTCTTTCACATTAACATGCTTAGTAATTACAAGGTCATACAATGAAATGTGGAAATATGTGGGCAAATTGCTTATTTCACCTATAAGGTGGTCTGATTTATTTTTGACTTTTATGCAACTGACTATTTGACCTATTCTTTTGACATTGTTCACAGGCCACAGTCTGTGAAATCTGCCTTCTAAAACTGGATTTCTGTGCCCTACTTTTGTAAAACACCTTCTAAAACTGCTGAATACCCAAACTCAGGAATAAAAATATCTATCCTCTGTCCAAATGAGCTGACTAGGGTCTCTAGCCTTGTGCTAAAATTTATCTTTTCAACCCACTTTGTTTTTAAGTACTGGTCTAACAATATGGTTATTGAGAAAAATGCTACCTCATGCTAAAGCTGCTTCATTTATTTCTATTGTGCTTCCATATTCATGGACTAAAACTTCAACCATCTGCAAAATGGAATCATACATTTAAAGGATTATCATATACAGCAATACTATTTCCACTAATAATTTTTCACAGAGAATAAAATTGATTTTAAGATCTGAGGAAAGGATTCTTATAGAGTTTATATGGTATAAGATTTGAATATTGAATAAACATAGAATTTGTATGGTACCTTACCATTTACAGAGGGGATTTCATCAACAGTATTTTATTATTTAGAGAATTCTTCAAGGTAAGTGTTGTTAAACTCACCTTTTAGCTGATGAAACTGAAGTGCTTAATGAGAAGCACCCTGTCTATCTGAAAGTTAAGCAAAGTTTTAGCACATCTTAACAGGGTTTTTCTTGCTCACCATGGATTTTTGCTTGGCTTCTTTTTTATTTATTTATTTTGTAGTCTGTATCCCAGGGTTAGATGTTTGGGTTTTTTTTCTTTACCGTGTGCACAAATTTTGGCAACTCTTTCTAGTCTAAACAAGGCTACTGAAACTCACCTTTTAGCTGATGAAACTGAAGTGCTTAATGAGAAGCACCCTGTCTATCTGAAAGTTAAGCAAGGTTTTAGCACATCTTAACAGGGTTTTTCTTGCTCACCATGGATTTTTGCTTGGCTTCTTGTTTATTTATTTATTTTGTAGTCTGTATCCCAGGGTTAGATGTTTGGGTTTTTTTCTTTACCGTGTGCACAAATTTTGGCAACTCTTTCTAGTCTAAACAAGGCTACTGAGTATGGATATGAAAATTGTACCTTTCCTAAGAATGCTCAACCAAAGGGCAATGAGGTCAGAAATGCAGGAGACACTCCACAGCAAACCTTCACCCTTCTGTGGAGCTGTATCCACCAGAAGAAAGAGACTACCAACTTTTAGTAATTTATCCATGCAAAGAAGGAACTTTTATCTCCATCAAATAGAGGGAGTTATTTTAGCCTAAACAAATAGATTTCCTTTCTTTAGTCTTTTTGGGGTTCACCAATGACTGTTGTATTGATAATTTACGTTGAGTTGTCTATCTTCACAGTGTGGCAGTGTAGGATAGAAATTAAGAGCACAGGCTGTGGAAACACACCGCCTGTGTTTGAACCCCAGCTCTGCCGCTTACTAGTAGTGTGACCTTGGGCAAGTTACTTAACTTTTCTGGCCCTTGTTTTTTTCAGCCATACAGTGGTAACAATAGTACTACCTTGTAGGGTTGCTGTAGGTAAATGATCAAAATATGTGTAGTACTTAGGGTAGTGGTTGGCATATAGTAAACACTATATATTGCTATTCCATTTGCATAGTTCCGGGAAACTGTTCATTTTGTGCATAAGCTCATTCATTTATTTAACAAATATTTGAGTGTGCAGCCGTATCAGGTATTGGTTAAAAAAATGGACTCTAGAATAAGAATGCTTCAATTCAAATCAAAGTTTCACTACTTACTGTGTGATACTGGGCAAGTGTCTTATCACATGGTGCCTTAGTTTTATTGTCTGTAAAGTAAGTACAATACTAATACCAACTTTATAGGATTGTTGGAGCTTTGGATGAGATCATCACCTTTAGAACAAGGTCTGGCATGTAATAACCAACCAGTAAATAATAACTATTATGATTATCGTGTTCCAGATTATTGTGTGTCTGCTGGGTACTGGAGGATAGAGCTGTGATTAAGAATAAACATAAAACCTATTCTTACAAAGCTTGGAGTAGATTAGCAAAGAAACACACTAAATAAGTAATTGAATATATAATTCATTGATTGGGCTTGTTATAAACACTAAAAGATATAGGTTGCAATTAGAATGTAAAATGAGGAGGTGGGGGTAGGGCAGAGGATCAGAGGGCTTGAGGGAATCCTCTTTAAGGGGACATCTATTTAAATTGAGAGCTGAAGAATGATTAATAGCTAGCTGGACAAAGCATGTGATAAGAGCCTCCAGGAGAGGGAAGGGCATGTGCTAAGATAGAAAGGAGTTTGATACCTTGGAAAAACTGAATAAACGCTAGTGTCAACAGCACAGAAAGAGGAGAGAGAGTTTTATGCGACTTGTTGGGGCTAGATCATACACTGCTTTGAAGACCATATTAAGGAGCTCATAATTTACAATATGACCAATGAGGAGCCATTAGATGTTCAAGGTAGGAAAAAAGTCTAATTAGAGGATAGCCGGATTATACAGGCATACTCCAGTGTCCTGTGACTTGTCATCAAAGGCATTTTATTTAGTGAATGTGAGAATTTACAAAGCAACTTGATCGATGTGAACAGCCCAAGACAGCCTCAAAGAATAGAGAGTTAGTGTGTGTAATGGAAAGATCGCTGGATTAAAAGTCAGGAGACCTGGCTCCTAACTGGGCGTCAGGAGACCTGGCTTCTGGATCTGGCTCTGCCACTCAGTAGGAAACTTGCCCAAAGTCACTCAGCTATCTTTTCTGGGCTCAGTGTCCTCAACCATAAAATGAAGGCGTAGATGATCTCTAATATCCTTTCTAGCTCCAAAAGTCTAAATTTCCAAGAAATCTATCTCTTGAGACCCAGTTTGGGGCAGTTTGAGGTCATCAATATGCATAAATGAGGATAAGAATATTTACATAAATGAATGACCTTTCGTTGAAGAATAAGACTTTTTTAACGTTAGTACTTGTAGAATAAATGCAACTGACAGTTTGTAAAATTTTCTCAGAAAATGAATTCTAAAAGAATCTTCATATACAGTAAAGTATCACCTTGACTTGAGCTCACCTACTTTGTAAAGGAGATAATAGACTTCAGGTGAATACCCTCATGGTAATTTGGAAAGCAGATCAATAATTTGAAATTATTTAAAGTGGCAAAATATCTGGAAGTAGGAAAATACATTATGTACTAGAATGGTGATAATAAGGAGGGGAGGAATAAAGGTATGGCTATGCTAGAAGATATCTTTCGTACACATAATAGATACATTAGTATTCACATACTTAGGAAATAAAACAATTAAACTAAAATTTAAAGTTATTTATTACTTGCCATTTTATCACCTCGGAAATATTTGTAGATTTTTATTCAGCTCTCTTTCAAGTCTTGCTTTTTATCTACTTGAGAGTTAGAGGTGTCTTGAAGGTAGTTTCAAAGTTGATCTTATCTCCATATAAAGTATTTGAGTGCTTTGGTGAGGTGGAAATATACATACTAAATGAAAGTTTTTAATTAAGTTTCACTAATGTGACATGGGACCTTACTTGTGGAAAGATTTTTCTGTTTCTTTCTAGTATACATGCCTAAAATGTAACGTTTTCCTTTTATGTTTTTCAAAAAGAGTGTTAATGATGTTCTAAATTCAGATGTTTCTGATCCTACATATAAAATGGCAACTGAAGATGTAGTTTCTTAAAGAACACCCAATTCATATTCAGATTTTTTAACAGGTAGAAGTATGATAGAGAACAAACTGATTTTATTAGTTCATAGGCCAATATTCACATTCATGCCACATATGTAAGTACTATATACTTAACAAATGACAATAATAAATACCATTTTAGATTCTTATGCATAGAATTAAAGCAGCAATAGCAAATTTTTAGGCTAGCTAAAATTTATATATTAGAATATAAAATGCCAGCTATCTTGTGATAAGTTAACTAGTTAAGGTGAATAAATGGTAATAGCAGTTGGGATTTGTTTAGAGGGTGGCACACCAGTGTGTTTCATGAGAAGATCATTGTGTAATATTTGCTGATTACTAGCATATCCTTGGGTTTATCTGATCTTACAGAAAACACTCTCTGTAGTCCCAGTATGTTTTCTAATAATAACTGGCACCATGGGGCAGTTTTATGACCAACATTCTGGAGAGACAGCAAGAGTCATGGAAATCCTGTTATACTTCCTTATAAAAAAGATTCTTTGGCCATTGTTCTCTGTTATGCATTAAATATACACATTTCATCTTTACTTTAGGCCTTCTGTTTTGTTATTTTTGCTCATGAGCCAGCTGTTCCTCATTAGTTGTTTAGCTGTGTCCTTAGGAAATATTAGAACATCAGATGCTTATACAAATACATCTTGAAGAAAAACTTAATTGTCATTGAGCAAAGAGCATGTTATTAAATGAACAATCCCAGATTATAGCAACCACCAATCATTCGAATAGATTAGGCACATTCTACTGATTTTATGTTTGTTAATGGACGTTTGAAGATTGTTGTTGGCTTGGCTTTGAAGTGAATATACTAATCTAAGTTGTTTATTTCACTTGTATTTTTTAATAATTTGAAAATGGTGGTTTACCATAGTCTTAAATTAGTATTTGTCTAATAAAACTATGTGAATCACATGAGAGTATATTTTTCGGAAAGAATTATAATTGTTAAATATCAAAGAAATAGATTCTGCTCTTAAAGATTGTACATCATTAGGATGTAGGCATATGTGTTCAGTCATATGCAGAGTCTTAGAGTAAATCATAATATATATTGCAAATCAAGTTATACTGAATAGATTTTACTTATATTTAGAAAATGGATTGTGACAATTGATGTTATGGCAATTTCCCCTTTCTCTGACCTTTTGACATGCACATAAAAGAAAATTCATGGTCTTAGAGTAAATCATAAGATATATTGCAAATCAAGTTATACTGAATAGATTTTACTTATATTTAGAAAATGGATTGTGACAGTTGATGTTATGGCAATTTCCCCTTTCTCTGACCTTTTGACATGCACATAAAAGAAAATTCATTTGTTTTCTTCCTAATATGACCAATATATAACATTTCCAATTTTCAGTGGTTTCTTAAAAATAACATATTTCAGCATTAGAAAACTAAGTGCCTATTTATTGGAATCACTGCTGTCCAATCAACTGCTGTCTAATGAGTTTGGAACAGCTTGTTTGTCACTTTGTTTGTTTTTCCTTAATTCCCTTTTACCAGATACTAATTCTGCAGGGTTCTCATATTCTTAGTATAGTCAATAAAAAATTCCTAAGAAAAGGTGGTATCTTGTGCTGGTTCAAAAGTTCAAAGAATCAAGTTTGTGTTCACAAGTTAACACCTTTCAGAGCAGTTAATGACTCATTTTTTTAGCTGACTTTACCAGCAGAACCAGTTTAGTCTTTTCTGATATAAATGCAGGGTAGACACTTATCAATTGGTGTGGAGCAGGTGCTGGTTTCTGGATATAATGAATCATTTCCTATCTCACAATTTTCAAATTTCAGTCTCAAAATACTGAATTATTTGGGTTAAGATAGCAAACAAGTTCCTTTGAGTTCTCAAGTTTGAGAAATATATTGGGATTGGGAGGTGCAGTGGGAATGGGAGTTCAGTTTAATAGTACCTAGACCACCATTAGAGATTAAAAATATACAAGTTTTCTTCTGCAGTACATCAAGCCACATACCAAAACGTGCCTTAAAGTTATTCTCAGCCATTTCCCAATCTACAAAGTAAGACTGCTGTTCATTTCTCAGCCCCACTATCTTCATTCTTAAGCTCTTTTTTTTTTTTTTTTCCTGGAGAGCTTTCTGTGGTGATTATTATTAGATATCGTCCTATCTTTAGGAATTCAGTACTGCTAATTTATTGGAAAGAAAACATTCTTTCTCAGCAACATAGAAAATAAAAGTGATTCTTTTTTCCAGGTGGCTTCAGTCTAAAATTCTTTGTAGGCTGATTATTAATCTTTATGGAAATTATGGCAAGCACACTTCTGGGAGGAATACACTTACTATATTAGCATGAGTGTTGATTTTAGTTGCCTGACAAAAGATTTCAGGTAGATGTTTATTTTGAATACTTATAATATTTATAAAATATTACGTATTTTAAGAAGTGACTAACCACAATATTTAATCAAACCCTTTGATCTTTGTCTGCTGGCAAACTGTCAATCATGACTGAGTTGAAAATGTAAAGATCAAAGTTCACAATTATGAACTCAGGAAGTAAAGATATTACTTCTAGAGTAGGATATGTTAGATTAATCTTTATGCTAATAGGTCTTTACAACCTAGTGCGGGTTGGTACTCCAAGACATTTTAATTATATCCCTTTTAATTTCCCTTTCTTTCCCTAACCTTACTAACAACATGGAAAGGATCAGAATGAAATGGTATTCTGGTGCTAGAATCCCACAGCTTCTGTTACTTATAATCTGATATGTCCAACCAGCTACACAGATTAAAGAAAATTCAATTCTGTTTAACAGAGATATTTAGCTCTGTATGACCTGAGAAATTGTAATTAGTTCTTCACAAATCCTGTTGCTATAGATTTGTCATGGTTAAATTCAACTGGTTTTATATTCTGCTTTAAAAAAAAAATTCTGTTGGTAATATTAATGCAATAAAGAGTGAGATAACACATTATCCTGGGTAAGGATTATAACTGATTAATTACAATTATATAGTACATTTTAAATGTATATTTGATGATTCTTAATCATTGGGTGGAAAATACATTATATGTGAAAATTTTTTAAAAAAAATCTTCTCAGTCTTGTGTTTTTCTTCATCGGAGGCAGTACATTTCAGCTATAAAGTATGTAATAGTCTCTGTTTCAGCCAAAAAAAATCCCACCTTTCTAAGCTATAAAATATACAGAATTGAAAGCTGACACCTAATATATTTTTCATTAGATACAGATGTTCAACGTAAAATTCTTTCTTCAAGTATTCATAAAAAGCAGGATAACTAAAAATCTTCAGGTAAAATACATAAAAAGTAGAAATGGTACCTTCTGGTAAATTACTAAGGACTTTTTAAAAATGAAAGCCATTTTTCATTTTATAATTTACAAGTTCTTTTAAGTTTATTGTAATCATATTGTAATTTCAAATTATGAATGGAATCTTTAAATTGCCTTAGAATTTAATGAAATAATAATACCTAAAGATCTCTTTTGAATGTAGAAAGTCTTAAAAGTAATTTATGAAGGACTCCTTCAACAATTTAAAGTTTACCTTCTTTATCTTAAAATTTAAAAACATTTGAATAAAGTAGTAATTTTAAACTATTTCTAATATTTATTTTTATACCTGTTTGCAGTAACTTTATTGTTAGACAATGCAGGCCAATGTGGTGAAAACACAGTAAAAATCTGTAATGCTGGTTTTTTTGTATCTTGAGACTACTACTTTAATTTCTGAATTGAGTTGAGCTGCATATAATTTTGAAATAAAAGTTCTCACCTCTGTGGTGAGTAATTAGAGCTACTGACGTTTTGCCACCTGTAGAAGTCATCGCATAGGCTACCTCTGTGGTGAGTAATTAGAGCTACTGACGTTTTGCCACCTGTAGAAGTCATCATCCTCACTGGGAACTAAAATGTGAACTATCCAGTAGGGAAAAAAGAACATAAAAATAATTCTTTTTCCCAGTTTACCCACCCTTCTCTCCCAAAACCAGAAAAAAAAATCATTTTAAACAGATGTTTTTTGAAATCCAAATATATTAGATACTGTGAGTTTAACTTTAAACAAATAGTTTCTGTTGTTTCAGTTGGGTTATATTTATTTTGTGCTCATGAAATTGAGCTACATGTATTTTTCTTAAAATAAAAGACAAGTCTATGAGAGTCTCAGTATACAACTTTAAAGTACTTTTTTTTTTTTTTTTGCTGTTAACTACATTTCACAAGAATAATACCAAAAGTTTTCTTAAAGTTTTCCAGCACTTTAATTCATTTGTTACTTCACATGCTCAGTGAACACATTTAATAGGTGCCTACTATTTGAATAACATTATGTTTACCTCTGTAGGAGATACAAAAAATAAAAATACAAAATATACCTCAAGAAGTCTATCGAGTATTGAGGAAGACAAGAGCTTTATACAAAACATGTCACTAGTAACAGGAGAAAATGTTTGATCAGTGCCAAAGTGAGTGCTATGCATGAGTATGACTATACAGAAAAGAGATCAGGGTGCACTGGGAGAATTTCTTTCTGGAACTGTGATTAAAGGAAAGATAGAACTTGGTCACTCACGTAGAAGGCAGGACACTGAAGGCAGTGGCCATGCCAGGAACAAAAGCATAGCAGCAGAAACAGAAAGGTCTGCTAAGGAAACAGTGAGGGCAGCATGTGGTCCATGGAGCAGGAGATAGGGATGTTAGATTAGAAAGATGGGTTAGAAGAGTACTAGTGCGCCTTTGTGTATGGGGTTAAAGTGCATAGATTTCATATTGTAGGTAGAGGAGGAGATTAGGGACTGTGCAATAAAGGTGTCTGAGTGAAGAATGGCCCAGTGAGGGTGATGTTTAGCAATATTAATTTTATCAGTGAGAGTATTGTATGTATTGGAGAGAGAAGTTGACAACACAAGAAATAGCCATTGCTCTTGTTGTTAGAGGTTAAGGTATCAAATCAGATTTTTATTAAGATTATGGATGAGAAACAGAAAGAAGTCTGAATCTACAGGACTTGTGACTAATAAGTTATAGGAAATTAAAACAGGAAAATAAAATATTCTGAAACAAAGAAATAAGGAACCAGGAAAAGGAGAAAGCTTTAGGAAAGATGAGTTTTGGGGGAGCGTAAAGAAAGCAATTAGTGGGGGGTTGGGGGATGGAGGAATCAGGTGTCACAGCTTAAGAGTATAGGATTTTTCTGAGGGGACAATAAAAATGTTCTAAAATTATGGTGATTGCACAATTCTATACTAAAAGCCATTGAATTATGCAATTTAAACAGGTGAACTGTAAGATTTGTGAATAATATCTCAATAGAGTTATTACAAATAAAATATGTTTTGGGGGCTGTATAAGAAAGAAGAAAAATAACTAGGATCCCATTAATTGTCAAAGATGAGGAATTGTTAATCATGTTTATAAGGGCAGCAGTTAAAGCTGTGAAGATAGTTATGAGGACAGGAAAAAAAAATGCAGAGATCTGAACCTAATAATTCAGCAATTCAAGGGCTGTGGTGGGAAGGGGAATGGTTAAAAAGAGAGTGTTTTCTTACAGAGAGTTTATCATTTGCATTAATTTTACCTGTATTACCTTAGGAACACCAGTTCAATATTATTTAGAGATGTGGGTTTTTTGTTTGTTTTTGCATTGGCAATGTTATTAAAGTTACCAGTGATGGTTGATTTTTTTTATATACCATCTATTTTAAATTAAATATATATATATATTATACATTATATAAATATATATATTTAAATTAAAGAGATATATGATTCTTGTAAGCAGACATATTCCTAACACAAAATACCAGTCCTGCTTTATATCCTTCTTTGAGGGCCAGAGTTATTGAATGAACCATTGAGTATGAGAATTGAGGAAGTCATTGGAGGTCAAGTTGTATCACTGGCAAAGTTGGTTCTTTGAGTTTCTTTGACTAGTTGGATTTTATTCTCCCTGATTGCTAAATAGTGGAACTCTCACCGAGGATATAATTTTGCCACCTTTAATGTGACATAAAACTTTTATGAAGTTAGAACTATATTGTGAAGATACAAAATGTTAAGATCCTTACAACCAAAAGAAAACAAAATTCTGAAGAAACCATTATTTTGGTAAGATCCTATCCCATGTATATAACTTAGCCAGAATAGAAATTTTAGTGATAAAACTTGTGTCAAATATGTTATTTACTGTGAAAGTGACATTCATGTTAGGGAATGACTATGCTTTTACAGTGCCCCTTTTTCTTATTTCAGGGAAGGAGATTACAGCAGAAACTTTTATGGAGAAGTTGGATAATGGTGCCTTACTCTGTCAGCTTGCAGAAACTATGCAAGAGAAATTCAAAGAGAGCATGGATGCTAACAAGCCCACAAAGGTAAAAAATCTCAATGCAAATACATTTGTAGCAGCTCATGAATTGGGTGTAATTAGAGAATTTGTTGTGAATAAACGCATAAAGGTCTGCATTAATCACAAAGAACAGAGGATTCTTTTTAATTAGGAAACATGTTATTTGCACTCTAATTATATAAATTACATAATCCTTTTGGTAAGTCTAATTAAATAAAAGTTTACAGAAAATGATGGTATTAAAGATTACTGTGCATAAACTGGCTTAATCAGATGTGTTGATTAAAAACTTAGCAGAGAAATAATTGTGTCATCAGGCAATGGACAAAATATAGGCAAGAAAGATTACTGAATAAATCTTTGTTTTCAAAAATATTATGTCAGAATATTGGAATGAAATATCTAGACTATAATTTTTTGTTTGTTTTGATTAAGTAGTAGCATTGAACTAAGTAACTTGGGAAAATTATTGTTGACTGCTCAGAATTCTTCTCTGCACATTAGTTTTAATACACTTTTCTAATTATTATAAGCACATAAAAATATGGTGTTTGATATTTTTTGAAGAAAACAAGATAGATGATACTTTTCTTAACTTTTAATAGAGACTGAAAAGAGGTAAGAAAAAAATAAGGTTAAAATAACATTGAAAATATCTTAAAATAAAACAGAAAAATCTATTAAACTGTTTCTGCAACTCTGGAAGAAAAGAACAAGTGTGTGTGTGTGTGTGTGTGTGTGTGTGTGTGTGTGTGTGTGTGTGTGTGTGTGTCAGCGTGTCAGCACTGTACTTAGTTTTTGGATATTATAATTGTCTCTGTAAAGTATTATATAATATACAAAGCTTCCCCCCACTGCACATACATACACACACGCTTTTAAAAAAAATCTTAAGAGGAACTTTGTGAAGATAGTAATTATTACAGTGACTCCCAAACTGCTGAACACTAGAATCACCTGAGCATCCTTAAAAAATGCTGAGACCTGGGGCCGACCCCGTGGCTCACTCAGGAGAGTGCGGCGCTGGGATCGCAGCGGTGCTCCCGCCGCAGGTTCGGATCCTATTTAGGACTGGCTGGTGCGCTCACTGGCTGAGCGCAGTGCGGGCGACACCAAGCCAAGGGTTGCAATCCCCTTACGGGTCACAAAAAAGAGGCGGGGGGGAAATGCTGAGACCAGGATCTCATGCTTGAACATTCTGATTTAATCTCCATAAGCTACAAACTGGGCACTGGAATTTTTAAAAAGCTCCCAGGTGATTCTAATGTGTACCAAAGTTTGTTAACCACTTGTTCTTCTTCCCCCCACTTCTCCCCTCCATTGGATTAATGTAGATTCTCAGTGTTCTGTGCAAGATCACCTGGCTACTAAGTGACTGAGCAAAAATTTGACACAAGCATCCTCTTTCCAAATCTAGTGCTTTCTCATTTTGGCCCACTATCGGTAGTACAGACATGAGGAGGCTGTTTAAGAAAATGGTTTATGTTAAACTTAATGTTAGGACACCAATTATTCTCCTGCTGTTGTTTTTATTATAATGTAACTGGCCTCTGCTTCAGATTACTGATGAAAAAACATAATGCCTAACAGGAGGATAATTTGTATAAAAAGTTTACTGTAAAGCAATTAACAGAGGGGAAAAAACAAGTGGTGTGCCCAGACTCTTGAAAGCATTACTTTCACATGGCACATTGGTTCTGAAAACTGTATTTTTATTGCTTATTATTGAGGACAGATGCTAAATGCCTCAATGTTAAGATCACTTGAATCTTCTGCACTAACATAGAATAAACAACTCTGTTAGGCCAGTGTACAGTTTTCTGGTTTTGTTTTATTTTTTAAGCCTTTGCTTTTTAAAATAGCAGCAAAGATCTCCAAATAGAATTGTGATTATAAGACTCACATGTAAGACAGATCCAAATCATTAACCTATAGTTCAAAGGCTTTGATACTGAGCACATTTTGCTTGAGTTCTAGTTTTGTTATTTATTAATTGACATGTCTGAGCCTTAGTTTCTTTATATGTAAAATAGGATTAAAAATTACATATGTATGCCTCCCATAGAGCATTTCACAGAAAAATGTTCTTGGGAAATATTATCTTCCTTCCCTACATGAAAGAAACTTAAGAGACTCTGATGAGAATTTCAGATTAACTAGAAGAAAAGAAGTACTTTGTAAATGTTCATATTTAGCATGACAGCTGCTACATGTGAACATGCAGACAACTCTCCATGATAGTATATAATTTTGAGAATATTTATTAATGAGAATTTTGATAGCTGTTCTCCCTTAAGACACTTATTTCAATATGACAGAGTTTTTATAATAAAACTATAAAATATAAAAGGAAACTAAGAAAATTTTCATTTCGATGTGAGCAGAACTGCAACAAGATTTTATTAAACTTGAAATACTTCCTTGACCCTAAACCATTTGTTTAATTGAATATAAAGCTAAAAATTATTCTGATTATGATAAATATATCTTAGTAAAAAAATTAACTGTGTTAATTGAACAAGTATAGGTTTAAAAATATTTATTATGTCCTCATATTCAATGATCAAAAACTCAAATTGGATCTGAGTTAGAAATTGTCACAATTGCTCTTGACTGAATTGCCTTCTGTGTCCTTGGTGGCGTTTATGTATTTCACAACTGATTTCCAGTGATATGCAGCTTAAATAAAAATAGCATGTGCCTTACTATATGAGAAATGCAAAGATGGATAGTTTTTATTTTTTACATTTTATGAGAAAATTTTCAAAAGATGAAAAGCCAAATGGTTAATATCTTCATGGCTATTATTGTTTATAAATATTCTTTCATCAAACTCATAGTTTTCAATCCATTTTCTGTATATAAACAAAAACAGATATTATATGAGATTGTACAACATCTTGTTATTGTTAAATATAAATCTAAATTTAAACAAAGTGTTTACTCAAACCCAGGTAGTTAGGATTACAGTGAATATTTCCCATAGAAAAAAGGAGGCTTTCAATCCCCCTTGGGTATAAATAACAATTGGGTTATAATATTAAGTTCATATGCTGGTGCATGTGTGTGTGTAGAATTATTTTCTACCTTGGCATATTAAAATTTAGGAACAATGGATGGCGGTAAAGGTAGAGGAGTTGGTAAATAACTTCTCTGAATTAATGAAACCATGTATGGAAGATGTTGACACAAAGTACTTTGAAAAAATCAACAAAAAACTTGATCCCATCCTAAGGGTTCCCTTTGTAATTTTTTGAGGTATCATGAGAAACCCTTTGTAATTTTCTTTAACATCTTAAATCCCATCGCCTCATTCTCATAGTAATATTTTTGCTTTTCCTGATTAATAGTTAACCTGAAGATTTTACAGCTGTGTAAACACATTTGAACAAGTAAGTTATGCCTGCTGTGTGTGAAGTATGTCTGTTCATTTAAATGTTGTTAATATTTAAAAGCCAATTTTAATAAATAGATCATACAATTTACATATTTAATATTTTTGTTATGAATCTTTGACTTTTTTATATACTTTTCTTATATAATTTTTTTGATACAATCCTCTGAATGCAAATAAATTATGTGCTTCATAGGATAATTTCTTTCCAGGCATTAGTAGTTAAATTTTTAAAAAATAGCTTTTCTATGTGTGTTAGTGCTAAACAGTTAATCTTAGCCTTTGCAGGGTGGGCCATTTTCTCACTTATGGGAGCAATGCAGAGATTTCAGTTAGGCAGTAGTTGGATGGAAGCATTTGAGACAAGTGTGCAGCAGTTTAATGTATAATTTGATTTAACTACTTTATATGTAGCATAATATAAATTCACTGTAACTATAAATCTTAATATTTATGGGCTGAAGATCTTTAAAGGTAAAAATGTGGACAAAAATAATCTTTCCAATATACTATTAGGGTAAGAAAACCAAATGACAAGTCCAAGGTTTTATGCCTTTTGACGCTTAGTTGCCTGACTCAAAGTTGGTATCTCCAGTCAAGACAGAATAATTGTTGCATTTATGCATAAACTTTCATTGCCTAGTGCACATAGAGTTCAGCCGTAGGAACTCCATCTTATTGTATTTTTACTCTGTTCTTTTTCTATCGGCTACAATTTTGCTGATTTGTATACAAGTCTCTCTCAACCACTGGGGCATCAACATGGGGAAAGATATTCAAAGAGTTTAACCTCTCTTTTTTCTCTTAACATTCCTTTCCATTTGTCTCATTTATTTCGGGAGTCTCTGCCTCGGACATCAGAGTTTCTCTGGGTTCAGAGCTTCCTTTGACTTCAAAGAGCCCTGGGTGGTTAGATCAGGTTTGAGGCTCATGAAGAAGAGGAAAAAAAGAAGTTCTGTTACCTAGTAGAATGCTACATTATACTCTAAGGAAGGAACTGAACATTCGCTATCTAAATGTAGAATCCAATCCTTGTTCAGAAGAAAGAACATCCTAGACAGATAGAATGCCTATAATTCATTTACCCATCAAAACCTAGTTCCCTGATCTGCAAGATAACAGTACCTCAGGATGTTGTATCATCTGGGAATTAAATAAAATATAAAGATTAGAGTTTTCCTTTCAAAAAAGTCCATAGCACTTTTTGTTTAGAGAACATCTTATCAAGATTGAATTCAGAGAAATCCAGAGAATCGTGTTTGCTGCTGCTATCTCTAACAGGACAAAAAAGTATGGTAGAAGTGGTAAAAGGTTTTTGTTTTTGTTTTGCTTTTTAAAGAAAATAAAAGAAATTTCACCTGTGATTAACCTGGAGTCATTAAACCAACAGAGAGAAAATCATAAGGAAATGGAGGGAATATAGGTAGAATGACATGGAAATAAATACATTTTTTTGTGTGTATGGCTGCCTGGGACTGAGGAAAAAAGGATTAAGAAGTTAGTGGTAAAGTCCAATTCCTCATAATTTGTAAAAAATAAACAAGTATCTTCAAGCCTTATAAATATACTAAATTCAAATTTTCAGTATAAAATTAATTTCCATTGTCACCATTTCTAAGTCCCTGACCACC